TTGCGCCTCTATATGCAGATCTGCATTCGCCGCCAGGCTGCATGATCTCAGTGCACGCACGCCTGTGGCCTGCATTCCTGTCAGCGCTCAACGCCAAAGCCGTGCTGGCCTCGCCCGTGCGCGGCGTCTTTATGCCGCCCCAACACGCAGCTCCTCCGACTTGCCTCGCGTCGTGCCCAGTCATAGACCAGCATGGGTGCGCATCGCCGACCCAGCTGCCGAGCGCATTCGCTTATCTACAGCAAGCAGGGCTAACATTGAATGGCTCTTGCAATGTTTTCAGGCAGATTTGGCATGCCCGCTGCGAAGCAAGCCAATCCTGGCATGCAAAGCAGCCGCCGATGCTTGCGCCGAGGGCGCCAAAGTCGGCATAGGTGGCTGGTTTATATCCAGCCGCTCCGTCTCATGGTTCGCAGAAACCTGGGAGTTCCAAGAAGTCCAGCAGCAGTGGCCTTTTCTCACAAAGGAAGCCCAACGCTACATAGCGTGCTTCGAAACACTAGCCCAGCTTGCGCTCATGCGCATCGCTTGGACAGCCGAGGGACAAGCCGTGCGTGGCTTGCGCATGCCTTCCAGAAGCAGGCGTGAACAAACTGTTCACTACAGCATGGCCATTGCAGATTTTGTGCAATGAGTCGCCGCATGGGCCTATAAGCACAAATGGTCAGCGCTAGCCTCGCATATCCCAGGCGAACACATCCGCTTTCGACAGCAAGCCGCAAGCTCGCTTTCGTTTTCGCCCGCATGATTTCTGGCCCCACCAACGCAGGCTGTCGCTGCATCCGCCCGACGCCCCACGGCGGCCAGAGCATGTCAGCGCTTCGCAAACGCTCTGAAGAGGGGGTGATATGATATTTTTAGGCCGTTTGCTTGGAACCCTGAAGTGGGGGCATGCTCCGCAGAGGGGTGCAGACACGGGGAAAGGACACGCGCTGTCTTTCCCCCTGCACCCCCGAGCCTCAACTTCCAAGCAACGCCTTATAAAGAAAAAGAGCGTGCGCGCATGTTTGTCGGTCGCACCCTTTTAGCTTTGGCTGCATGTTCCCTTTCGGATTGAAGCAGTGATCAAGGTTCTAACGTTTAGGGTTTTCTTTTCCCTTATGTTTTAATCTTGATCGAATCTTCGGACGCGTTGCCGTTTTCTGCTTCAAGCCACCTAAGGGTCATGCGTGAGGGCTTTCCCTCACTTTTTTGCGCCCACCCTCCCACCCTTTCCACACTCAGGTGGATATTCCCTGGGCCCAGCCGCGCCCAGAGATGCAGCGCATACCATGCCACTGCAATTACGTTGGCCACTAGGTTCAACTTCTCGCCGTGGGCTGCGCCACACACCAGCGGAGGCACGCAGTGCTGCCGCCAGGACCCAGCCGCAGCTGGGCCCAAAAGGTCTCAGTCCAGAACCGTGTGCCGCATTGCACACCAGCTCGATGCACTCATTGCATTCGGCTTGGCGCCGTGTGCGTCACTGCGCACCGTCCAGATGCATGCGTTGCACGACGCAGCCATCAATGCCTTTGATTGTTTCACGCCTCACAGGTAACACACCTGGCGCCTGGTCGAACACGCATTGTTGACCACGGGGGCATTTGAGGAGGCTCTGCAGAGGGGTGCAGACACGGGGAAAGGACACGCGCTGTCTTTCCCCCTGCACCCCCGAGCCTCAACTTCCAAGCAACGCCTTATAAAGAAAAGGAGCGTGCGCACATGTTTGTCGGTCGCACCCTTTTATCTTTGGCTGCATGTTCCCTTTCGGATTGAAGCAGTGATCAAGATTCTAACGTATGGATGACTGAGGGGCACACTAGCCACAGCGTGTGTATCTCCACAGGAACAGATAACACAGCATCCGAAGCAGGAGTGAATAAGCTATTCACTACCTCTTGGCCGTGCAGATCTTTGTTCAGCAAGAGGCCGCATGGGCCCACAAGCGCAAATGGTCTGTGATCGTTCCGCATATTCCAGGCGAACGCAACATTGGGCAGTTCAGCAGAGGAAATCTCTCCGAATCGCAAACAGGCCGGCAGCAAGAGTACGCTTCCGTCCGCATTTGGCCTCGCAAGTCCGCGTCGACTTTGCATCCAGCTGATGCACTGTGGCGTCCAGAGCATGGGGAAGCTGCGCAACCGCACTGAAGAAGGGGCGGATTTGCATACCGGTTGATCACAGCCCTAAAGTGGGGGTATGCAAGCAGGCTCTGCACGGGATGCAGATGATATGGGTCAGACACGCGTTGTCGATCCATGTGCGTCGCTGAGCCTGTCCCTGTGAGAAAATCTGACAAAAAAGAGCTGAGCGCCGCTTTGCACGTTGATTCTTGTTTTGTCGCATGTCCTGGTTTGGCTTGAAGCAGTGATGTGCGCTGCTACTGGGTTGCGCCCCATGTCTTAAGTACTGATCTTTCACATGTGGGTTCGTTGCCTCTTTATTATTGTGGTCGCGCTGTTTTTCACCTATTGGGCATGTGCTTTTCCCTCACTCTCCGTCGTCTGAAATCTAGTTGACGGTTTCGTGATCGAGGCATTGTGGTTGTTGATGATCCTTGGAATATTTGTACCATTGGTTTGATGGCTGTATTTGCCTGTGGCGCCCATTGATGATCTTCAGTGGCTTATCGGGTATTTGCTGCTTTGATTTAGGTATAAGGGATGGCTGTGTGGTGGATAAGGTGCGTACTTCATTGTCGATAGCCGTGCCTACGGGTTTGAGAATGCGGAGCTTGAATCCTTGGCGGCATTGATGCTACACTTATACAGCTTACCGGTTGACGGTCCGAGCGGCGATTGACCTTGACGACTTTGGTCTTTTGCCGGTTGAGACTGGTTTTGGGTTGACATCGTATGGGTCGTATCTTACGGAAGGCGGAGCCCTCTTGGTTATGCTGCGGGTATTTTTGGTTATTGCGGAACTGCGTACAGCTTTTTTTTGATGGATGCTTGCTGGCAGTGGGGTCGCTCCCGAACTATATTCGCTTTGCTTTTGCACGCGTGTGAAGGTGTGGCAGATTTATCCGCGCTGCCTATTGGCGATTTCGACTTATACTTGCTCTGGGCTTCAGTGGTGGCCCATCATGGGAAAAATGTGCTGGCGCGGTGCGCAGCTCATTGGGCATTGAGTTTCACCTGAATTCATTTCGTTTCACTTCGTCTCTGTCCTGTTTCAAGGCGCGGGGAGAGACGCAAAGTTCTCTGTGGCTTTTCTCGGTTGCTTCCTGATGTCTCATGCCTTGGCTTGCAGCTTCACTGTTTTTAATGGTTGAGGCCTCGGTCTCCCGATGTCATTTGTCATCTGTTTCACGCTGACTCAGGCTTTCGATGCGCCGCTGATTCTCGTGGGTGCGAATGAAACATTCGTTGCCTCGATCGTTTGTCTCTTTCGAGGCGTTTCGTGCTGGACTGTGTTATGATGTTGGGCTGCTCAAAGCTCCCTTCATCTGCTGTTGGTTTCTGTTTCGGTGTCTGTTTGTCTGTGTTGTTTCTTGTTTGTTTTGTGTTCGCGAATTCACTTGCCGATCTCCTGCTTGGCATGGTGCTTGCATGTTTGTCTACTGTTCTGCGTGAGCCTGGCTGCTCCTTGGTCGAGGCTTCCGCCTCCCTGACTTGATTGAATTTGGAGGTTTTCTGCGGAGGAACCTCGTTGTCTTTTGTTTTGCTGGTGCTTGTTTTCTTTTGGTGGTGTTCTGTTTGTGTTTGTTTTCTGTGTTTGTTTGTGGCGGGTTTCCTCCTTGCCTACTTTTAATCTGTCTTTCGATGCCGGAACTGCGGACCTGCATGATCGCGATCGGCCGCACGGATCAAAAAACACAAAGTGACAGGGCCCTTCGCCCAACACACGAAATAAATCTCAAGCACAAGCTAACACTCCCCTCCTCTATGACCGGAAAGGTCTTCATTGGCAACACGGCCGTCCACAACGCCTTTGCGTCTGCAGCAAGTGCGGCGCGGACTGCTTGGTCATGCAGAAAGCGCTCAGCAGTCCAAGGCACTTCTGGAAGCCGACAGGGACTTGCGCGGCCAGCTGTGGGGCCGTCTCCCATGACAGCTTCACTGCTAAAAACGGGACGTTTCTAGCAGCTCTTCAAAGTTCAAGTTTCACTTTCAGGTTGCCAGCAGTTCTAAACCTTTTCTGGCTTCGCTTCAGCACCAAGGCCTTTCCAAAAGTTTCGAGGGTACGCTCGTTTTTGGGCCTTTTTCTCCGGCGTTTCGCCAGCTTAGGCCTCTCGAGGCCGGCCCGACGCCTCATTTGTTCTGTCACGAGGGTTTGCATGCCCGCGTGTAACATTGGAGGTTCGTGTCCAGGGGAAAACTTAAATTAGGATTCAGGTCGCGCAGGCTCCGCAACATGGAAGTGGCCAAGCGAATAGCCCCCATGAATGCCTTTCCAGACGCAGTGGGGGGTCAAGTGAAGGCGCACACCTTCAAAAATCGAAAGCACTCAAGGCGTCTGGCCACGCCGATGAAAAGTTGGCCCCACAAGAAGGGACACCCCCCCTATTAATCAACGAGGGGTTCCGCTTAATCCGGGGTTAACATTATGTTGGATACGCGAGCCACTGCAAGACGCCAATTGATTAATGCGGGCGCATTAGTGTTTGTTTGTGGTTCACATGACAAGTGCAAGCTTTCCAACATGCAAAATTCGCTTCGGAGGAGAATTGAATCATTTAGGTGGCTCGAATGCCTTCACGCAGCCATTTGTCAATCCAAGTCATAAGAAAAGAAGAAAGCACGCAAGTTTGTGACCTTGACAACTCCCAGCAATCAATCCAACCCAAAGTATGGTTCTGCCACACCAACCCAATACGTCCTTTGTGTCACAAAAGGCGTTTTCGCAACCTTGATGACCGCCCGTGTGAATTGCATGGGTCGAGCTGGCTAGAGTCATTCATATTTGGGAGCTTCCAACCGATGGTTGGTGCACGCATTCTTCCCCGTTAAACTTCAGGTTTTTAGGGTTCAGTGGTTGGGTTTCCATTTAGACCACAAGTGAACAACTTTTAGCAGCATTGTATCAAGGGCTCCCATGGACTGGGCATTTCGGCTTTGGGCCTTCCTCGAGGCCGAGATTCATCGAAAGGAAGCACGCAAGGCTGTCCCGTTGAACGGATCCAAGTGCGTTTTTTGAAGGAAACAGCTCCCTGAGAATTCATCTTGGCCAGATGGATGAATTGATTGAATCCGAGGTGGACAGTGCCCCGCGCACCGCAACCATGGGATTGTTGGCTTTCCTCAAAATCCAGGGTGGTTTCGCTGGACAAAACTGTGAGATATCCCCGCAGGTTGGTTGAAAGTAATGGACATAAATGGGACATAAATGGGACATAAGTGGGACAGGGTGCAAGCGACCGTTACAACCAGGGCCCCTCTTTGCGATCCCAGGAGAATTGAGGGAAACCTCCACCCACAGGCCAAAGATGATGCAGGATTCGGGTGTGATGCAAGCGTGTCTCTAGGTATACTGTTATACACATGTGTATGATTATATATGCATACATATCATGTGTGCATATGGAATCATATACAATATAGACTTGGTCTCTCCAGAATCTGTCTGAAAATAGCAGGTGTACCTGTTTTTACAAGACGTAAATCGACCTAGGTAGAAAAGTCAATGGTCTTCGGGTGGTTGTCACGTGTATTTTCTGCGAATTGGCTCTCTACCATTGCAATGCAAAAGGGCATTCAATGGCCAAGACACCCAACCACCACTCCCAATTTTCCAAGAATGTGGGTTAATAAAGCAACGCATGGAGGAACTTGATGCCCATTTTTTTGGATGTTTGTGTTGATGCGTTATTTTTCCGTCCCTCAAATAAAGTGGGCATGTGGTTGGGTTCCCAAGGTTATTTTTGGGTCCCGGTGTCCCTTCAAAGCCCTGAAGCTGGTCATTTTGTCAAGGGCGTCACTTAAAAGGACCCAGCAAACTTCAGAAAGGTTCCTTAGCTTTGACCCTGATTTTGACGAGCCGTACCAAAACAAAGACTAACACCTGGGAGAAGGGGGGTCTACCCATGTGGGTGCGTCTTCTTTTGCGGGACCCTTGGTTTTACAAGGACACTTTTGTAGCCCGCCATTTTGGCCCCCCAAATGTTCAGCCAAATCGGAATAGGACTCGGGAATAATAAGCCAAAAATACCAATGTTCTCTATTGGCCATTTGGCTTTTCGATTAGTCCTTCAAATGGTCAAGCCTCAAGAACCAATTTGGACCCCAAAATCTCCCCTTCAGGTATTGGGTCCAACCAGGATACGGACCACAGGATTTAGTCCATCTTTCCATTTACCGATTGGGCAAGCCATGTTGGGGTTACTCTATGTTTGACCGGTGCTTGGTTGCGACCCCTGAAAAACGGACCCTTGCCGTCACGGCGCCATATGGGTGCTCAAAATTTGACGGTTCCGCAGTTTTCAGTCTTTCCAATTGCCAACGTGACGTGTTCCAGCACTCTCCAGGTTGTCGTTTTTTTTTGTACCCAAAACGGCTTAAACAAGGGCACAGGACGAATTCCCAATGGGACACATTTTTCTGGCCCCATTATTCCACCATGATCAAAGTCACCCCCTAAGTGGTGTGTCAAAGAGCAACAGCCCCATTTGCTGACTTTGATACCCCCCAGAAACAGTCAACAAAAATGACCCCCGCTTTTTGGCCATCCCGGCGCCGTCCTTGCAAGACCCACAAAAAAACAAAGGCGCCGGCGGAGCTGCCGGCGCGCTGCGCCTGCCGAGCCCTCGCAGAGGTGGCCGCGGTTTGGGGCTTGGGCTGGGGTTTGGACACCGGCAAACTGGTTTATGCGCGCCAGAAAACGGCGACTTCTCTAAAAAAAGGTAGGTTGCTGGGGTGGGTCGGTGGTGTGGGTTTTGGGTTTGGATACACATACGATACGAATGCATGTGCACATGTACATGCAAGGACCTATTGCATTGCCCCCTTCTAAAATTAAACATTTTTCAACACTTCGGAACACATTTTGACAGATTGAACTCCTGACACGTCCCAGTTTGAAACCCTTCAGGGTGGCGAACCAGGAACAACTGCCAGGAGTGCCTGTGAAACCCTCCATGCCAGGCGGCGAAGAAGCCACGATTCCATATTCGGCCAACGGGTTGTCGATGCCTGAGGATGGCTTTGTTACGGCCATTGTTCGCATAGCATGCACTTGGGTTTGGGGATGCGCGGGATGCGCGCGAGCAAGCTCAAACTGTGAAGACTCACCGGGATAGGTCTTGAAGGGAGCCCGGACTGTTTCGCAGCTATTCAACTGGGCTTGGCATTCTTGTTCTCCATGTTCAACCATTGGTCATTCATCCAGAGCCGCATGTGATTCAGTCTTGACTGGGCGTGTCCCAGGTGTCCTTTTGCTGGGAAATGGGAATCGGGTTTCCGGTTCCTGCCAGCCAGAATCTAGATTTGTTTTCCCACCACACCTGCGTCCGAGGCCTTATGGACTGGAACGGGGAATCGAATGAGAAACCCAGGTTTCCGAGTTCGGTGTTGCGAAATTGACTTCGTCCACAGTATCACTTGCCATTGCCGCCTTCGCAGGCCCGAAGAGCTAAATGGACAGACATGGGCTTGTCTCAAGGGGACCCCCAAAACGCTTGGTTTCCTTTTTTGCCTTCCCTTTTCCAGCCCATCTTCATTTCACGAAAAAAAAAGACACGCCCACAGGTTCCCAGCAAATCTTTGTTTCATGTGCCCTCAGAAAAGAAAAGAAAAAAACAACAACAAACAAACAACACAAACAACAAAAAACCAAACAACAACAACGGCACCCACCACATGTTTCTCCTTTTGCACCGGTCCTTTTCCGGTGGAATTCACCGTGTCTTTGTTTTCTTCTTTTCTCCCGCAGTCCACCGGGAAGCAGCTGCTGGTGCTCCCCCACCTGCGGCTGCAGCTGAGCGGCTTGCGCTGGGCGCGCGGGACCCAGTGGACCCAAGATATGCCAAGCCCGTCCTTGCGTGTGCATACAGTGGATGGACAAAATCCATTTCGCACCACTTGGAAACCATGACAAACCATTGTTGGTTGGTATTTACAGGAGAATCAACATTCCACGGTTTCTTAGGTGGTGCAGGATTTCGTCCATCCACAGTAGGTGTCCTTTTTGGTTGCTTTGGTCGAAAATAGAGGGCGATTCCTGGTTTACTTGGTGACACCTATGCTTCCGTATGGATCGGGTGGGTTTGGTTTGTCCGTTGGGCTTGGGAACATACCACGTATGTGTTGGTGGCCTGAACTAATGCGCACATGTGTGGGTTGTTTCGTAGGCCAAATCGAGATACAGCTGGGAACATCCTCAGAACCGCGCCATGTGCATCATCGGTGACCCTCTCCCCTCGCGTTCACAACAAGCTGCACGTTATTTTGCACAACAGGAGACCACAGGTGCCCTTTTAAAGCCTTTTTGGGTTAGTTTGGTTAGAAGTAGATGGGTTTCACTGGTTTAGATGAGTTTGATTCCATTTACCAGGGCCATCTATTTGTCCAAAAGGCCACCTATGGATCCTTGTGCATCCCTTGGGTTTGGTGCGTCCCAGCTTGGGCTTGGGAACATACCACGTATGTGTTGGTGGCCTGAACTAATGCGCACATGTGTGGGTTGTTTCGTAGGCCAAATCGAGATACAGCTGGGAACATCCTCAGAACCGAGCCATGTGCATCATCGGTGACCCTCTCCCCTCGCGTTCATCAACAAGCTGCACGTTATTTTGCACAACAGGAGACCACAGGTGCCCTTTTAAAGCCTTTTTGGGTTAGTTTGGTTAGAAGTAGATGGGTTTCACTGGTTTAGATGAGTTTGATTCCATTTACCAGGGCCATCTATTTGTCCAAAAGGCCACCTATGGATCCTTGTGCATCCCTTGGGTTTGGTGCGTCCCAGCTGGGCTTGGGAACATACCACGTATGTGTTGGTGGCCTGAACTAATGCGCACATGTGTGGGTTGTTTCGTAGGCCAAATCGAGATACAGCTGGGAACATCCTCAGAACCGAGCCATGTGCATCATCGGTGACCCTCTCCCCTCGCGTTCATCAACAAGCTGCACGTTATTTTGCACAACAGGAGACCACAGGTGCCCTTTTAAAGCCTTTTTGTGTTAGTTTGGTTAGAAGTAGATGGTTTTTACTGGTTTAGATGAGTTTGATTCCATTTACCAGGGCCATCTATTTGTCCAAAAGGCCACCTATGGAGCCAAGAAACCCAAGAAACCCGTCCTTCCTTGTGCATCCCTTGGGTTTGGTGCGTCCCAGCTGGGCTTGGGAACGTGACGTGTGTGTTGGTGGCCTAAACTAATGCGCACATGTGTGGGTTGTTTCGTAGGCCAAATCGAGACACAGCTGGGAACATCCTCAGAACCGAGCCATGTGCATCATCGGTGACCCTCTCCCCTCGCGTTCATCAACAAGCTGCACGTTATTTTGCACAACAGGAGACCATAGGTGCCCTTTTTGGGTTAGTTTGGTTAGAAGTAGATGGTTTTTACTGGTTTAAACGAGTTTGATTCCATTTACCAGGGCCACGGGCAACTCAGATAAACCTTTTATACCCATGAGCTCTGGAAAAGGTCAAACTCTTCCTATAGGAACATCATAATTGAATTAGCTATTTTCTTGCTTTATGATCCTGTGCAAGATGCCTTTATCCTCCGCAGAATCTTTCTTTGGGTTTGTTGTCCTAGCTTGGTGTAGCTGCTCGGGAATGATCTCGCGGGTCTTGGGAAGTAACGGGAGGGGATTCCCTCAAAGGAGTTATAATGGCTATCCCATAGTAACACAAGCAATAGCGATATTAAACAAACCAAGAACAATGACATATTGAAATATTTATGTTGATTATATTAAGTGAAACTTCAATAATTCGGCCGGATTTTATAAGACGTAAAGCTTGAATAAATAGATATAACATAATATTCCTATAATATTAAGTTTCAATAATGTATATGTTGCCGGATACAACCTATTTTAAAATAATATATAAAGCTTGAATAAATAGAT